AAGGTATGACCAGCTAATGGTGGTACCCAGTTCGGAGCTTGCTGAAATATAAAATAAATAGATACTCTATTATTCTATAGTTTACTGAGCTAATACAGACTAGTACAGTTATTCAGTTAACAGTGGGAAATTACCACAACTAGAACAGAGACACAGACTGAAATAGATCAGTTGTCTAAAAACTTGAGTAACAACATATTTCAGGTTCTGTTTTAATATTTCTATAACTCAGAGAGTTGTCTGAAGAAAGCATAGCCTGAAAACTTGAGTTACAACATGTTTCAGGTTCTGTTTTAATATTTCTATAACTCAGAGAGTTGTCTGAAGAAAGCATAGCCTGAAAACTTGAGTTACAACATGTTTCAGGTTCTGTTTTAATATTTCTATAACTTAGAGAGTTGTCTGAAGAAAGCATAGCCTGAAAACTTGAGTTACAACATGTTTCAGGTTCTGTTTTAATATTTCTATAACTCAGAGAGTTGTCTGAAGAAAGCATAGCCTGAAAACTTGAGTTACAACATGTTTCAGGTTCTGTTTTAATATTTCTATAACTCAGAGAGTTGTCTGAAGAAAGCATAGCCTGAAAACTTGAGTTACAACATGTTTCAGGTTCTGTTTTAATATTTCTATAACTCAGAGAGTTGTCTGAAGAAAGCATAGCCTGAAAACTTGAGTTACAACATGTTTCAGGTTCTGTTTTAATATTTCTATAACTCAGAGAGTTGTCTGAAGAAAGCATAGCCTGAAAACTTGAGTTACAACATGTTTCAGGTTCTGTTTTAATATTTCTATAACTCAGAGAGTTGTCTGAAGGTCATAAAGCATGAAACTATCAAGCCAAAGCATGTTTCAGGTTCTAAATTGATATAAAATCTTACGGTAATATTAGACCAGACTTGAGATTCTATGTTATATTTCCACAGTTGGTTGGTAGGAACGTACGATTCACCCGAACTGGACGTCAGGAAACCACCAAATACAAATATAATCTTTAATAACGGTACACAGGCTGCACCATGATAATATCTAGAAATATTGGTGAGAAATATAAAATATAAGATTTCTATCTCTTAATCTCTTATCTTACTGTTATTTAACACTCTCTATAAAATATTTATCAGAATAGCCAAATTCATTTCTTTTTCATATTAATCACTTAAAATCAAGATATTCTCAGATATCTAGTTTAGTTGAACTATTATATCATTACATATCAACTAGAAAATTACAGATATCACTATAAATAAAATGAATAAACTAACTGACCTTCCTGAGGGCTTGGCATCAATTGGTATAACTTTAGTCCACTTTCTGACAGAGATTTCATATACCCACATATCATTCTGTAAGCCCTGACTAGGTGAAATACCACCAAACAGATAGAGATTACCATCTCCACAGCTAGTTAATGAGTGACCCATCAGGGCTGGGGGTAGATTAGTTTGATTCTTCATTCTATTAGGGTCTATGAGTAACTCTAGTCTAGGTAGATTAGTATCTACTGGTATATTACACGCTGCCCCCACAAAATTATCAGTACATTCACACATTCCATATTCCTACAATAATAATAATAATAGTACTAATAATAGTAAATACTAATCCAGTTTCCAATAAGTAGAAATTGTGTAGCCTGATTATTAGTTCATAGTCTAGCGTCATTCAGAATTCAAATTGCTGATGGCTTTCAGGAAAATATAATTTCATAATTTTCACTGTTTGCTGAATGTTCTCAATTTCATGATAAATAAACATAACTATAACCAACCCTTACTATCTTTAATTAAATATCTTAACTTACATGATTACACTCTCCCTGGGTGAGATTATACGAACAGTTTCGAGGGCAGAGTTCAACCTCACAGTTGATACCCCCAAACCCTCTCTGACAAACACACTCGCCTTCCACACATTCACGATGTCCTTGACATTCATCTGGACACATATTGATCTGAAAACTGGCATTAAAACCTCGCGATGATGAACCTAGAATATAAATAACAATTATTAAAACACATATCTTGTGTCTAGAAATATCAAGTTGAAAAATTATCAACAGAAAGATTTTATCTTGTATTTATCTATACAGCCCTATTCTCATCTCTTAATGCCAACACAAGAGGCTAGATTCCAGAATGATTCATGTCTGAGGTAGTCATTAAATTTATTTTAAAAATGTGACCTTCATTTATAAAACTAATTGTCAAAAAAAGGCTTTTTAATCTGAAATCTCGCTCCAATTAATCAAGTCTTTTCAAACTGTGAATGTAAACAATGTCCATCATTCAAATTGAAATTATACCTGGCATTCTGTATATGTTTCTATCATATTTCTCAAAAGCATCATAGATTTCTTTTACAAAAATGTGGTTTATTCCTTTCATTGAGTCCAAATAGCTAATACTATTTAACTGAATATATTTGAAACTCTGACAACTGAATAATATTATAAAAATACTTACGTCGAATGTCAGCTTCAAAATACACTGTTATAACACCAGACTTGGCTACGACTACAAAATCACGACCTGGTTTCATACCACAGAACGCTCCTAACAACGTAGCTGAATTATTAACACCACTGATAAACTCTGGAGTACCATCGTAAATATACAGTAAGTGCTGAAATAATAATATTAAAATGATAAACTCTGGAGTACCATGGTAAATATACAGTAGGTGCTGAAATAATAATATTAAAATGATAAACTCTGGAGTACCATCGTAAATATACAGTAGGTGCTGAAATAATAATATTAAAATGATAAACTCTGGAGTACCATGGTAAATATACAGTAGGTGCTGAAATAATAATATTAAAATGATAAACTATGGAGTACCATCGTAAATATACAGTAGATGCTGAAATAATAATATTAAAATGATAAACACTGGAGTACCATGGTAAATATACAGTAGGTGTTGAAATAATAATATTAAAATGATAAACTCTGGAGTACCATGGTAAATATACAGTAGGTAATAATAATATTAAAATGATAAACTCTGGAGTACCATGGTAAATATACAGTAGGTGCTGAAATAATAATATTAAAATGATAAACTCACCATTGTAAATATACAGTAGGTGTTGAAATAATAATATTAAAATGATAAACTCTGGAGTACCATCGTAAATATACAGTAGGTGCTGAAATAATAATATTAAAATGATAAACTCTGGAGTACCATGGTAAATATACAGTAGATGCTGAAATAATAATATTAAAATGATAAACTCTGGAGTACCATGGTAAATATACAGTAGATGCTGAAATAATAATATTAAAATGATAAACTCTGGAGTACCATGGTAAATATACAGTAGGTGTTGAAATAATAATATTAAAATGATAAACTCTGGAGTACCATGGTAAATATACAGTAGGTGCTGAAATAATAATATTAAAATGATAAACTCTGGAGTACCATGGTAAATATACAGTAGATGCTGAAATAATAATATTAAAATGATAAACTCTGGAGTACCATCGTAAATATACAGTAGGTGCTGAAATAATAATATTAAAATGATAAACTCTGGAGTACCATGGTAAATATACAGTAGGTGCTGAAATAATAATATTAAAATGATAAACTCTGGAGTACCATCGTAAATATACAGTAGGTGCTGAAATAATAATATTAAAATGATAAACTCTGGAGTACCATGGTAAATATACAGTAGGTGTTGAAATAATAATATTAAAAAGATAAACTCTGGAGTACCATGGTAAATATACAGTAGGTGCTGAAATAATAATATTAAAATGATAAACTCTGGAGTACCATTGTAAATATACAGTAGGTGCTGAAATAATAATATTAAACTGATAAACACTGGAGTACCATGGTAAATATACAGTAGGTGCTGAAATAATAATATTAAAATGATAAACTCTGGAGTACCATGGTAAATATACAGTAGATGCTGAAATAATAATATTAAAATGATAAACTCTGGAGTACCATGGTAAATATACAGTAGGTGCTGAAATAATATTAAAATGATAAACACTGGAGTACCATGGTAAATATACAGTAGGTGCTGAAATAATAATATTAAAATGATAAACTCTGGAGTACCATCGTAAATATACAGTAGGTGCTGAAATAATAATATCAAAATGATAAACTCTGGAGTACCATCGTAAATATACAGTAGGTGCTGAAATAATAATATTAAAATGATAAACTCTGGAGTACCATCGTAAATATACAGTAGGTGTTGAAATAATAATATTAAAATGATAAACACTGGAGTACCATCGTAAATATACAGTAGATGCTGAAATAATATTGAATTTGTAAGTTTTTTTAAATCAGGAATTATAAGACATGTCATCTAAATATTTAATTTACCAAATGATTTTTTTATCATCCAATTTCATTTAATTCATGGATACATCCGAAAAATTTGACATCAACATCGCAAAATATCAAAACAATTAACAATAGCTATAACAACATCAAAATGGTACAAGTTATTTGCAGATTATTTGGAACAACGGATGTCAGAAAGAAAATAAGAAATCATGTTTAACTAAAACAACTTACTCTTCCACATTTAACTTCCATATCTCCTTCAACAGCTAACCTTATACTGGGTACTGGTATATCAGGAGGAGGGTTAATATTCGATATATCACTAAACACTGTCATTAACCACAGACAATAGGCATGGGAACGATGAACCACACCACTACCTTGATGTGTACCTAGTGCACCCTGGGTAATATTTGTTAATATTGTTCGATCATCACAGCGTAGATAACATTTCATACCATGCCTGTTATTAAATAAAACAATATCGTGGATTACATCAAAACAGCATCATTTTACCATTCAGCTTGTAAGACTAAGTTTCATTTAAAATCATCCAAATTTCACAGCCTGTCTACATGTCATTTATTTTGATAATAGAATCAAAGCTAAGTGACAGGAACCAACAGAAGAATTGAGACCATGCTTGAAAACTATAAGATCTACAACATGTGCCCTATTCATGATCACAAGGTTCAAAGCTGGGGTTAAAATTTGCAATTATATAAAACTGTCTAGGATATTGATTTTGATAATAGAAACTGTACTGTACTGTACATATGTAAATGTATATCAACAATACGTTAAGAGTTTTAACAATATTACACCGAAAGCACCTACCTCGGATCACCATAATAACCTTCGTTACATTGTTGACAGTGAAGACCCTTTGTATTGTGGGTACAGTAACATTCTGCTGTTACATTATTACATATACCATACTTTATATCACCATGTCCATTACAACACACAACATAGAGACACTACAACCTGTAATAGAGGACACCACAACCTGTAATAGAGTACAGCCTGTAATAGAGTACAACCTGTAATATAGGACACTACAACCTGTAATATAGGACACTACAACCTGTAATAGAGGACACTACAACCTGTCATATAGTACAACCTGTAATATAGGACACTACAACCTGTAATATAGGACACTACAACCTGTAATAGAGGACACTACAACCTGTCATATAGTACAACCTGTAATATAGGACACTACAACCTGTAATAGAGTACAACCTGTAATATAGGACACTACAACCTGTAATATAGGACACTACAACCTGTAATATAGGACACTACAACCTGTAATATAGGACACTACAACCTGTCAAATAGTAAAACCTGTAATATAGGACACTACAACCTGTAATAGAGTACAACCTGTATATACTGGTAAATATCATATCACCTGTATGTACTGGTCACATATCATATTACCTGTACATACTGGTCACATATCATATAACCTGTATATACTGGTAAATATATCACCTGTATATACTGGTCACATATCATATATCCTGTATATACTGGTCATATAACATATAAACTGTACATACTGGTCACATATCATATAACCTGTATATACTTTTCACATATCATATTACCTGTATATAGTGGTAAATATATCACCTGTATATACTGGTCACATATCATATAACCTGTATATACTGGTCATATATCATATTACCTGTACATACTGGTCACATATCATATAACCTGTATATACTGGTCATATATCATATTACCTGTACATACTGGTCACATATCATATAACCTGTATATACTGGTCATATATCATATAACCTGTTCATACTGGTCACATATCATATAACCTGTACATACTGGTCACATATCATATAACCTGTATATACTGGTCATATATCATATAACCTGTACATACTGGTCACATATCATATAACCTGTATATACTGCTCACATATATAACCTGTACATACTGGTCACATATCATATAACCTGTATATACTGGTCATATATCATATAACCTGTACATACTGGTCACATATCATATAACCTGTACATACTGGTCACATATCATATAACCTGTATATATTGCTCACATATATAACCTGTATATACTGGTAAATATATCATATAACCTGTATATACTGGTCACATATCATATAACCTGTATATACTGGTCATATATCATATTACCTGTACATACTGGTCACATATCATATAACCTGTATATACTGGTCATATATCATATTACCTGTACATACTGGTCACATATCACATAACCTGTATATACTTTTCACATATCATATAACCTGTATATACTGGTAAATATATCACCTGTATATACTGGTCACATATCATATAACCTGTATATACTGGTCATATATCATATAACTTAAACTAATATTACCTTTGGGTTCGAGAGGATTACCATAGCTACCAACTTGACAGAGTTCACAATGTAGGCCAGTTGTACCATGATGACACTCGTCACAGACACCGACTCCTGTATGACAAGTACTATGATTATTACAGCCACAATCAACACTACAATCAGGTCCACTCCATCCTATTATACAGTTACATATATGATCTGGTTCTCCACTACAATTACCATGTATACATTCATATAAACATCTGAAATATAACATAGAGAATACATGATAACTATTATAATGTTATAGATCCACTCCATCCTATTATACAGTTATATATATGATCTGGTTCTCCACTACAATTACCATGTATACATTCATATAAACATCTGAAATATAACATAGAGAATACATGATAACTATTATAATGTTATAGATCCACTCCATCCTATTATACAGTTATATATATGATCTGGTTCTCCACTACAATTACCATGTATACATTCATATAAACATCTGAAATATAACATAGAGAATACATGATAACTATTATAATGTTATAGATCCACTCCATCCTATTATACAGTTATATATATGATCTGGTTCTCCACTACAATAACCATGTATACATTCATATAAACATCTGAAATATAAAACATAGAGAATACATGGTAACTATTATAATGTTATAGATCCACTCCATCCTATTATACAGTTATATATATGATCTGGTTCTCCACTACAATTACCATGTATACATTCATATAAACATCTGAAATATAACATAGAGAATACATGATAACTATTATAATAAATGGTTCAGATATAATCAACAATGTTAAAACAAATTAAAAAAACTTACGATTTATCACAAACTTTGGTGCCATCCCCTTTAAAACCAGGTTTACATTCACAGACATATTTCTCTTCCGTGTTGATACAGGTAGCGTTATCATGACAGTCATGTAGATCAAGTCTACATTCATCGATATCAGGACAGTTATGATAGGCCCAGCTAGTATTGGGTGTCACAGAGTCACTGACGTTATAGATATCAGTTAAAACTGCAGAACATGTTGAATTATCAACTAGACCTAGAAAATAAAACTCAAGGTATAGATCTGATTCACACCTGGTTAAAGAGACATTGAAGGCGTGGTTCATTACACAAAAGGCGTCTATTGAAAAGATGACAACATCATATGAAGGAAAAGCCTGTGTGACATCATTTAATACATGACCAACAACGATTAATACATACATTGATAATAGTGCTTTTCTGGCAAAGCAATTTAGTATGCAATGAGGGAAATTATGCCAGGACAGCAGCATTAACCACTCTTATTTAAACTAGACTGGGAAACTTAGAAGTTATATTTAAGTTAAAAGTTTTCTAGAAGTTGACTCGCTGTATAAAAATTTAACAAGTCATAAAATAGAAATCTACTTACCATTAAAATCACCATCAATACAATATCCTATAGTAGGATTATCTATATTATAACACCAGCCACAACCATACATCTCTAAACATTGACTACACGTAGTCGATAGATTACACTGTCTACATACATCTTGACTGATCTACAAACAATAACAATATCATATTGACTGATCTACAAACAATAACAATATCATCTTGACTGATCTACAAACAATAACAATATCATCTTGACTGATCTACAAACAAGAACAATATCATCTTGACTGATCTACAAACAATAACAATATCATCTTGACTGATCTACAAACAATAACAATATCATCTGGACTGATCTACAAACAATAACAATATCATCTTGACTGATCTACAAACAAGAACAATATCATCTTGACTGATCTACAAACAATAACAATATCATCTTGACTGATCTACAAACAATAACAATATCATCTGGACTGATCTACAAACAATAACAATATCATCTTGACTGATCTACAAACAATAACAATATCATCTTGACTGATCTACAAACAATAACAATATCATCTTGACTGATCTACAAATAATAACAATATCATCTTGACTGATCTAGGAGACATATTTCTCTACAATTAGGTCTTTTACTTAAAGCCATACAGTAGTTTTCTAACAGCTTCCGAAAAGCATATTAAACTTTAAAAGTTTAAGTGAATTTGGCTGGCTTGTTTTAGTTAAAACTTCCAGATAGGTTAAGAGACACTTTTCTAGAGTTTTGTGTATTGTTTTGATAAATTTGAACTTGAAAACATACATACTGACACTATCAGTTGAAATTGGTTTTAGAATTTTTATCAAACAATGTTCAAAGATGTTGATCTTACCTGTACCATATCAATCCATTTAGTACACTGTCCATATAAATACCGTGGTACGTATTCTGAGAACGGCAGACACGTTCTAGTATTCTCACACCAAGCACATTCATCACTCTGTGATACACAATCATCACACGATATACGGCTACAAAATAAATCATTATAATAGTTACAATTACTATCATATTACATAGAACATAGAACATGGCAGTGAGAACATAGTAGTGAGAATATAGTAGTAAGAACATGGCAGTAAGAACATAGTAGTGAGAATATAGTAGTAAGAACATGGCAGTGAGAACATAGTAGTGAGAATATAGTAGTAAGAACATGGCAGTGAGAACATAGTAGTAAGAACATAGTAGCAAGAACATAGTAGTGAGAACATAGCAGTGAGAACATAATAGTAAGAACATAGTAGTGAGAACATAGTAGTAAGAACATGGTAGCAAGAACATAGTAGTGAGAACATAGTAGTAAGAACATAGTATTGAGAACATAGTATTGAGAACATGGTATTGAGAACATAGTAGAAAGAACATAGTAGTGAGAACATAGTAGTAAGAACATAGTAGTGAGAACATGGTAGCAAGAACATAGTATTGAGAACATAGTATTGAAAACATAGTAGTGAGAATATAGTATTGAGAACATGGTAGCGAAAACATAGTAGCAAGAACATAGTAGTGAGAAAATAGTAGTGAGAACATAGTATTGAGAACATAGTAGTGAGAAAATAGTAGTGAGAACATAACTTACTATTGACAGGGAACACGGCAGTTTTCTGGAGCACGAACAGCCTCGTCATAACGATATCTTCTCGTACAATGGCCATCTTTTAACATCCACTCACAAAGATTATCCTAAAATTATTTTAAATATTATTTTACAGTTGGTATCAGTAGACTCCATAGAGAATTACCATCAGGTGTTTCAGATAGAGTAAGCATGATCTGTACAGCGTGCAATACCTATCACTACTATATAGGTTAATCTAAACTTTTTATATGTATCTGGTACATTGATAGCATTGATTTGCTACATTCCAATTTTCAATCAGACGTCTGTGGTTCCTGCAATTCCACTAAAACTAAGTGTTTTATGATGTCACTATGGCTAAAATGACTTTATTAACTTAAAACCTTAGCAATAATGACATGATAGTCAACAATAAATTCAGTGGAATTACCAAACATTCAGAAGTTTGATGTAAAATTAGAATGATATAAAATGATACTATCACTGTCCCTGATACACATAAAATATTTAGAAAACCTCTTTACAATCTCTTTAACAAGAACCACAGACGTCTGATTGAAAATTAGAATGGTGTAAATTGATACTATCACTGTCTGCGATACATGAGAAAATTTAGAAAACCTCTTTACAATCTTTTTAAAATCAAATATTACCTTAGTACAGCTTCCACATTCCACATAATGATCACACATCGGACACTGACTAGGGGTGGTTATCAGAAACTGTATGGAACTTAAATTAGCACAAACAGACGTTCCCATTGCATCACTTCTATTCATACAGGTTCGTAGGGCATTACACCATCCACACGCATTATTAGATAAACATGCTAGACAGTTATAATGTCCTGAACACGTCTCGCTAGTATAGGGTTGTAAAAACTCAGACGTCAATGGTTGTTGAGTTAAACTGGTTAAAGCTCCGTTCCATTCCAACTTGATATTACTCTCAGGATATTTATCAATATCTTTACCTCGTTCTTTTTTCACGATATGTTTCAGGATTATTTCAATGAAATAACGATTCCCACGAGCAATGTTAGGAAACATTGGTGTTCTATCTAGTCGCCTAGCAACACTTTCATTATATGTTGCATATGAAGCTAGACTTAATACCATTTCCTATAAAAATACATTAATTATTACACATTACAGAACCCCTTTTATCTAACTAATAGTCTGCCATTTTGTAATTAATCACTGATGGTGGTAGGTGTTAATATGGAGACATTGTTTAAGTTCAGATTTACTGGAGGTTAAGAAGGGTGGGCATTATGTATGCTTGTTCACCTTATTCTCAATCAGAAGGTAAACCTCTCCCTAACCCCCACGACCTCCCTCACCCTAAGACCTTTATGAAAACCATGTAAAAACCTACCATATTATCAGGGTTGTCTGATTTACTGAGATATAATAAACTCTGTCCGTGGATCATCTTTAAATGTAGCTGAAGATACGATTCTCCTGAGGGTGGGGGAGCATTTAATGGATGAATAAAACCTCGTAATGCTCCGTAATAAGTGAACTCGTCTTCAATCTCTCTCATAAAACGATATTTAAATTGTAACGTCTGCTCTGTTTTACGTACTATTGATAACTGAAATAACAAGAGAATATAAACCATCATTCAATAAACTAGTTCGGAGTTCTGATTACTGCCAGTATATAGGAGATAATGAGTGATGCATTGTGGGATTGTAAGATAGGTAAACAAACTGATTTCACTCTACGGAAACAGAGGAAGAGGTTTTCAAAATGAGTGAGACAGTTGTAAATATATTGATATATTTAGAGTTTTCACATTCTCTCTAATCATTATATAATGTTTCAGTATTTTGTATTGTTTATAATATCAATAACAACGTTTTCTTTTTCATCTCATATTGAGGTACTTGGTGATCACATGGTTTTTATCTGAGATGACCTTTTGACCTCCTTGAATAACATTCCTTTAAACTATTAATCAGACCTATATTCTGTTCCTCATTGCACACTGCATGGCGTAGCCAGTCTTCATCAGACCAATTAGGTGCAGAAAAGTAGGATGTAAAACTCTATTCATTTCATTTAAGATTAAAACAATCAACATAAAAATAAAATGAATAGAGTTTTACATCCTACTTTCTGTATCATGTGATCTAATGAAGACAGGTCTAACTAAATAAATTAATCTTACATGATCTGGGTAAGTATTATTCATAGGATATCTATATTCAATCCATTGGAGACCTGCTGGAAAATCTGCTGTCTGACATTGTTGATGTGAAGTCAGATTAGCTGACAAGCCTCCCCACCATCCCTGAATACCAGACACTGTATTATCAGCGGCTAGACATGTCCCTTGTGGCACTGAAATTATAAAATCTTTCTGTTATTAAAGGAAAAAGTAAGAAGATTTTTAGTAAAACTTTAGGCTAATCTTAAAGAAATTCATTCAGTGATATTTTACAACATGACAACTGATATTAAAAAAATGTCTGTTGAGGAAAAAGTCAAATTTGAAAACAAAATATTAGACTGAAAGCTAATTTAGGAAGAAATTCATTCAGTGAGATTCTAGGTATTTTGTTATGATTGGAGACAAAGGTAATAGTTGGGATATGACAATCAGTTAAACTAGATAATATATTGGTCTGTTCATAAATTGATAAAAACATACCTGCTCGTGGAGTACAAACAGCTTGTTTCACACACCAGCTACATGCTTCATTATAAACACGACGTCTAGGTAAGGAGGAAGTTAGGTTAGCTCCCCTACCCTGGCTGATGCAGGCTGAACAACTAGATAATACTGAACATATACCAGGGCATCTTTTACTCTGTAGATCTTGTATATCACCATTTAAACACATCTAAACATAGAGAATTTCTATATTTTAATAACATTATAAAGAGCTAAATTCTTCTATATTTTAGTGGACAATGATAGCATCAATTTACACCATTCTAATTTCCAATCAGATGTTTGTGGTCCCTGCAATTCCACAATAAATAATTGGTTGATTATGTCACTTATCACGAAGGGCCTTGTAATACAGGGTATGATTCTAGACACTAGAAGAGTAATCATAGCCTGTATACTTACATCAGTTCGAGTTCTGTGAATACAGCCTGGATTGTCTTCCTGGTCTTTATTATTATTATTATTATTATCAGACTTGGGTTTATTTTGAATATTAGAACAATAAACACAATCTGGATCATTGAGACAGCGTAGATTGGTGGAATAATCTAGACAGTGATCTAAATCTTCACTTACTACTGTCTGAAATATCAAAAATATATCTGATGACAACAAGTGTAACTTATGATAAAACATTATGTGTTTAATATTATATTAAAGAAGTGTGTATATTATATAATATTGTCTTGTGTTAAAACATTATGTGTTTAATATTATATCAAAGAAGTGTGTTTATTATATAATATTGTCTTGTGTTAAAACATTATGTGTTTAATATTATATTAAAGAAGTGTGTATATTATATAATATTGTCTTGTGTTAAAACATTATGTGTTTAATATTATATTAAAGAAGTGTGTTTATTATATAATATTGTCTTGTGATAAAACATTATGTGTTTAATATTATATTAAAGAAGTGTGTTTATTATATAATATTGTCTTGTGTTAAAACATTATGTGTTTAATATTATATTAAAGAAGTGTGTTTATTATATAATATTGTCTTGTGTTAAAACATTATGTGTTTAATATTATATTAAAGAAGTGTGTATATTATATAATATTGTCTTGTGATAAAACATTATGTGTTTAATATTATATTAAAGAAGTGTGTTTATTATATAATATTGTCTTGTGTTAAAACATTATGTGTTTAATATTATATTAAAGAAGTGTGTTTATTATATAATATTGTCTTGTGTTAAAACATTATGTGTTTAATATTATATTAAAGAAGTGTGTATATTATATAATATTGTCTTGTGTTAAAACGTTATGTGTTTAATATTATATTAAAGATGTGTGTTTATTATATAATATTGTCTTGTGTTAAAACATTATGTGTTTAATATTATATTAAAGAAGTGTGTATATTATATAATATTGTCTTGTGATAAAACATTATGTGTTTATTATTATATTAAAGAAGTGTGTTTATTATATAATATTGTCTTGTGTTAAAACATTATGTGTTTAATATTATATTAAAGATGTGTGTTTATTATATGATATTGTCTTGTGTTAAAACATTATGTGTTTAATATTATATTAAAGAAGTGTGTTTATTATATAATATTGTCTTGTGTTAAAACATTATGTGTTTAATATCATATTAAAGAAATGTGTATATTATATAATATTGTCTTGTGTTAAAACGTTATGTGTTTAATATTATATTAAAGAAGTGTGTTTATTATATAATATTGTCTTGTGTTAAAACATTATGTGTTTAATATTATATTAAAGAGAGTGTGTATATTATATAATATTGTCTTGTGATAAAACCATTATGTGTTTATATAT